GGGTATCCTGCTAGGTCTGGAGCCTGATGCTTTGGACTTCGCCTTCAGTCCCTTTGATCGCCGGTGTCTCACAAGGGACAAGCCATTTGACCTTGCCCTGCATCCCTTTTCCAGAGTCTTCCTCACAGACCTACCACTATGCGATGCCAGCAGGCCTCTTGATGCCATGCAGATCTACGTAGATGGTTCTTACTTCGACACTTCGCCCGACTGCCAAGCGGGCTGGGCAATTGCGGTGTTGGGTTTGCAAGGTGATGTTTGGGGTTGGGAAGGTTTTTTGGCGGTATGCAGCGACTGCCGAGGAGACCACACCACCCTGGGGGTTGAGATTACCTCCGCTTTCCAGACCGAGCTCGCAGGAATTGTGTACGCTCTTGCCATGTGTCAGGCAACTCCTTGCCCAGCTGCGGTTTTCTACGACTGCAGTGCTGCCGGTCACATTGCGTCCGGATGTGCCTCTCCCGCACAGCCCACGACGCTGACAGAAGCGTGCGGAGCCATCAGCCATCTTCTTTACCTGCAGTCAGGGCGTCCAGCCCTTGCCCATGTTAAATCGCATGAGGGGCATCCGCTAAATGAAATGGTGGACACTTTAGCCAAGTGGGCCGCCAAGCATCCGGATGCCAATAGACTGCCGCATGAGTTGGCTTGGGCAGCGCAGGAAGGGGCACTGGCGTGGTTCTGGGCGGCAGCAGGCCTTCATAAGGATATCCCTCGACCCGACGACAGAGGTTGCATCAGCGCATGCAGGCAGGAGACAGAAAGCCGTGGGCTACCCACCCTTGCCGAGGTGCTGCCCTCTGTCCAGGTACCTCAGGCCTCAACAGTTGGTTTCAACTTGCGTGCCGTCACATACAATGTACTGACAGCCTCTACCGTTTTGCAACGCGAAAGCCTGTGTCAGCAACTCGCTGCCCGTGGTGTTGTAGTGGCGGGCTTGCAGGAGACCCGTAGTGGTCTTGAAGGCCGTTCGAGGCAGGGATCGTACTCTGTCATTTCGAGCCCTGCCAGTTCTGGGGAGGGAGGAGCTCAAATATGGTTCTCCTCCAAGGTACCAGTAGGTGTTTGCGAGGGCTCTGAAGTTTTCTGGGAGCCAACCTCCTTCACTATACTGTATAGCAGTCCCCAGATCCTGATGGTGAGTGCAAGGGCGGGGGGCAGCCTCTTTGTCGTTCTCACGGCCCACGCACCGACCAACCGGGCTTCAGCTTCGGTCAAAGAGTCCTGGTGGGCCCAGCTCTCGCAGGTTATGGGCCGGCTTCCACGCCGTGCCACTTTGCTTTTGTGCATTGATGCCAACGCGCGACTCGCGAAAGCGCATGCACCATACCCGGACAATGCGCATTTCTTCCGCGCATTCCTTACGGCTCATCACCTTGTTACCACCCCGGCAGTCAACCATGTCGGCACCGAGTACACGACCTGGATCAGCCCCTCGGGGCTCAATGCCTGTCTGGATTACATTTGTGTTGAGGAAGAAGTCGCCACGGCCCTTACTGAGCACCAGGTGTTGCATGGATTTGAGGGACAGGTCTACCATGACCATGCAGTCCAGGTGCAGCTTCTTCTTCATAAGAATGCTCCTCAAGTCAAACCTACGCCCAGGCTACAGGCTGACTTTCTCCGAACCACAGCCGGAAGGCAAGCCCTTGAAGCGGCATATGCCAGCATGCCCAACATCCCATGGGAGGTGGATGTCGACGAACATCTTCGCCTCATCAACGATCACCTGCGCCACGAACTTTCGGATGTATGCGCAACACATCCGACGGCAGCGCGTTCCCCTGTTATCTCGGCCGGAACTTGGGCACTGGTGCAACATCGGCGAGAGCTGCGTCGAGAGCTCTTTAGTCGACGCTCCGATGCCAGAGGCCGACTGTTACGCGTCTGCTTTGCATGCTGGAGAGGCAGCCCCTGCTCAGCGGAGGACGATAGGCTCGCCACACAGTACACTGCATTTCTCACTTTGCAGTTAGCCGATCTTAACAAGGCAATCAAGGTTGGAGCCCAGCAAGATTCGGCCAGAGCGACGCAGGAAGCCTTCACTTCGGCACGCAAACGGGGACCGGAAGCCCTGTCTTCCTTGCTCCGACACATCATGAAGTCAGGTCGGAGGTACAAGCCACCACCCCTTGCTCCGGCGATTTGGAGTGAAGATCTAGGGTCCTTCATTGATGCCGAGCAGGCACTGGGCGACCACTTCGCCACGGCTGAAAGGGCGGATCATGTTGAGGCCACTCGGATAACTGCACCTGATGATAGGCTCCTTTCACATGACATTGAAGTGCATGCGGCCATTTCCGTTCCCAGTTTGGCCCAGGCATTCTCCTGTCTAGCCTCGCGCAAAAGCCCCGGCATCACCGGGCTGCCAGCCGAAGCATACAGCCAGGCGCCCATAGCCGCGGCTTCGACACATGCACCGTTGATGTTGAAGGTGGCCTTGACACAGCGTATGCCGTTGCTGTGGTCCGGCGGCGAAGTGGCAGCCATTGGCAAGCCACAAAAGAACCCGCATTCTGTCGAGGCGTGGCGGTCAATTTTGCTGATGGAAGCTTCAGCCAAGGGCATAGGGAGGGCTCTCAGAGCTACCCTGATCCAGGCTTATAGGTCGGTGCAGTGCACGGGGCAAGGCGGCAGCGTGCCCAAGGAGCCGCTACAGTGGCCTATGGCATTGATCAGGGGCTTCGGCCGCCGACTCAAGAATGCGGCCATGACGGGAGCAGTTCTGTTCCTAGACGGCCGCCAGGCCTTTTATTCCGCGTTCCGTCAGGCGCTCACGGGTGTGGAATCCGGCTGCCCTTTGCAGATGCTGGAGGGTCTCGCTGACAAATTCCTCCTTGACGGCCAAGCCCGGTTGGACTTTATCGCTACGGCATTGGCTCCTGCCCTGTTTCAGGCCACCGGGGTACCGGACATTGTTCGCCAGATCCTTCTGGCATCCCTCCGACGGACATGGTTTGTGCATGGCCGAACTACTCGTCGTGTCTATGAGACCCGCACAGGCACGACACCGGGTGCTCCGTTGGCCGATTTGCACTTCCAGTTTTTGATGTCCACGGTCTTTGAGGAGGTGCAATCACAGGTCTCCCAAGCCGGCCTGGAAGCATGGTGTCCCTCAACAGACCGCTCCGTCAGTTTCAAGATGATTGCTCCCTCCTGGATGGATGACTGGGCACTACCGTTGGTGCCGCCGTCGCCAGAGCGACTACTGGAACAGGCAGCTGGTCTCGTTGAGATCGTGGACACGGCTTTGTCCCGGATCGGCATTGAAGTCAACTATGCAGCCAAGAAGACGGAGCTTGTTCCTTTCTTTTTTGGCACGGGAAGCCGAAAGGCCCGCCATGATGTCTTTACGGGCCAGGACTCCTTCAACGTCAGGCTACCTAGAGGAGAGGTCCAGGTCAGGGTCGTCCCCGAATATGAACACTTGGGATCGATCATCTCGTGGGATGCTAAGGACCAGTCTGACATCAGACACCGACGACTTTTGGCCCGCAGCATGGTGAAATCAATGAATCGAGTTCTGGCCAACCCCTTCCTTTCTGAAGGTGAGCGAGCCAAGCTCATCATCAGTATGCCTCTTGCAAGGCTACGTCATGGCGCAGGGCTTTGGGACCTCTCCAAACCCGCCGCATTTGCTGCCTTCCACGCAGCCTACATGGAAATTGCGCGAAGGGCCTTTAGGGCGGTCACACGCATCTCTGTCCGGGGCCGTACCGATGAGGAAATCTGCATCGGTCTGGGTTTGCCCACCTCACAGCAGGCACACACAGTTGATCTAGTACGTCATGCGGCGTGGCTTTTGAGCAGCCCGGACGACACTGTCATCAAGCTATGGTTCGATGATCAGGCGTGGCATCAGCAAGTGCTACAAGCTTTGCACCAGGTTGCGCTACAGCTCCAGACCCCGGCAATCAGCCTAGCGCGGCTGCGTGAAGATCCTAAGCAGGCAAAGGGCTGGCTTAAGCGATTCACCTCTGCCGTTAGGCGCCGTCACGGGGAGCAGCGTCAGGAGCTTTTGCCTGGTTGGCGAGGTCAACAAGATGCTTTGGACAAGGGATGGCTCTTTGTGCACGTGGTGCCCAGCGTCGCACAGGATCCCAAGTCCTTTGCATGCGAGGTGTGCGGCTGCTTCTTTACCACCCGAGCAGCCTGTCGCGCACACGCCCGTAAGGTGCATCAAGTGCGCTCACAGCTGTCGCAAGCGGTGTTCGGCACGCGATGTGAGTGCTGCTCGAAAGAATTTTGGTCGGAGGCCAGGCTGAGGGAACACTTTAAGTCACACCCGTACTGCCGGCAGTGTGCTCTCGAAGCCGACATTGCGCCGACTGACAAGCCTGCACGCCCCTCGGCAAGTGCATGGCGGCCACCAGTTACGGTCCCTGGACCGAAGCCTTGGTGGGCAACCCAAGGCCCATTCCACCCGGAACCGCCGCCACCACCGGTCGTTGTTTCGGATTGGGATAGAGTTCAGGGAATTTTGAAGCGGGGATTCGATGCGGATTTGTATGGGTTTGTACATTCCGTTGTCGAGGTCGCAGTACAGCACCGTTTGATGATGGAGGATGCGCCCCTCGCCTTTATGACTGGTCGCAACAGCGCGGTTGTACAGTGTGCGCTGTTTGCAGCAGAGTATATTCATACCTGTAAGACCGGTCATTTCGACACGAGAACGTGGCGAGTCCATGTTGGCTCCTCTCGTGCTATTTTTATCCCCCAATGTGGGGTACGATTGCGAGTGCAGCTCCCTGCAGTTTGGCAGGAGGTGCTAGACTCGCATCGATGAGGACGTTATGCATGCAGCGTGCACCGAAGGGTTCAACCATCATGCCAAAAAAAAAAATCCTATGCCCGCAAAGGAACCTTACTACTATGGGCGCTTGAAATAGCCCCCTATACTATTTCGGGGGGTTCCTTATTACAAATGTAGCATACTGAGCCCCAAACCCTATTCTAACTATTAAGGCCCCTAAACCCTACAGCCAAAAGCCCAGAAGAAGGTTCTGGCCTCACGGAGCTCGCAGGGGGCTGGCCGAACCCGGTGGCTTGCTTTGGCGGCTTCTTCCAGCCCCGCGGCGTTTCCTCAAGTTTTAGGGTTTAGGGTCGGGCCTTTATGCGCTGCCTTTGCGAGTTTTGATTCGGTTACCTATGAGTTTTGCTGTTTTTTTTTCAATGGGCTTGTAAGTAAGGGTATTTTGGGATTCTCGATTTTTTTATCGGGTTTGCTTTCTAGGGGTCCGTGCTAAGAATGTAGGGTCTGGAGAAGAGGAAAGGGGATTCTGACAGGAGGTGAGAGCGTGTGTGGAACGCACGTTGCCTGCCAGATGCACTAAAAGCATAAGAGATCCTTCTACGCCCGCTCTGACACGGATCAGACCTTACCAAACCCCTGAAAGTTCATGAAGCCCCCATATTGTATCATGACATATCATATTGCATCATAATTTTTATACTACATCATATTTTGCTAGGCCCTATTCTATTGCATGATCGTATATCATATGTTATCATAGCACGACGCCCCACAGGTTCGATGGAACCCTACAAGCAGACACCTGGTACCAGCTGGTCGTCCTCGTGAGCCTGAGCGCCGATGCCCCGGAGGGCATCCGGCTGCGCCTCAACGTGGGGAGGCCAGGGCTTCGAAACCTGGGCATGGCTAGTAGAACACGGTTCCTTTAAGGTTTAGGGTTTAGGGTTCAGGGTTTAGGGTTTAGGGTTCAGGGTTTAGGGTTTAGGGTTTAGGGTTCAGGGTTTAGGGTTTAGGGTTCAGGGTTTAGGGTTTGACGGGCTCCTTTGAGAGGGCCTGTACGGGATTTATAACTGGGTTCTATAAGTTAGGGGCTTTTGGAGGAATTACACAGAAAGTGCTTGGGAATGGCTACTAGAACAGGGTTCCTTAAAAGGGGCCTAAACGGGATCTATACCTGGGTTCTATAATGCAGGGGCCTTTTGCACCACACAGTACACCACAACCTCAATAAGCCCAGATCACAACTTCCTCATACTCCCACAGTTCTAGAACCCTAACCCATCGAAAGTTTCATTCGGTGTACTGTTTGCAAAGATTTCCGGGCTCTCCGTCGGCTTCAATGGCCTTAGAGGGCCAACCTAGGCTTCATCGATATTCCAACAGGACACCACCACCCTCAAGCCAGCAGAAGCTTCCCTGCTTCCCGAAACCCTGGACCCTCAAACAAAGTGAATCTTAATCCCTGTGTAAGCACTGGACCCTAGTTCCCTAAACCTAAAAAAACCTCAAGCCCGAAGTAAACCCTGAACCCTAAACCCAAAACCAGTTCCCTAAACTTCAAGCCCTAGCAGCCTAAGTAAACCCTAAACCCAAGGACGGAAGGCAAAGCTTAGGAACTGGAGCCGAAAGCAGGCAAAGCACCAGAAAACGCCAAGCGTCAGCCTATCCCAGAGATCAGCGCACGCCTTAGCCTACCAAAACCTACTTCTTTGTAGGTTCTTATTCTACTACTTAATATAGCGAACCCCTACAAAACAAAGTAGGTTTTGGTGGGTTATATGAGGTGCTGTGCAAAAAGTTGTCGATCCCAATGCAAGCTTTCAGGCAGACCTCCGTGCCGCTCGACAGCCTCACCTTCGAGGCCGCTGAGTCCTTGAGTTGAAGGTTTACTTGAGAAACCCCAATCCCGAAATTCATGAACTCTAAACCCTTGAATCCTGGGGACTTTGCAAGCTTCAGCGCGCTTGACAGAGAAGGGCACCCCGATAACCACGAGGCATTGTGTCGCACGGACTGTGCCATCGACTATGAAGTCTTTGGGCAGTTGAATGACAAGCTGTGCGATCATGGAGTCACGCCATTAGGGTATAGGGCTTAGGGCCCCAATATGAGAACCTTTACAGCGATCCCCTAACGAGCCCTCTTTAAGGAACATGTTAAGGCAATGTTAAGGAGCCCTGTTCCGGCAATTAAGGCCCCTATAGTACTTGGAGGGTCGGGGGACTTAGTAACTAGTTATTTGCGGGACTTAAAAAGTACCATAACCCCAATTAGGGTCCCTTTTCGGGTACTTATAAGTCTACTTACTACCTACTTACTAAGTCCCATGATCCTCTAAACCCTAAACCCTATACTACCCCTATAGAGCCCTTTAAAGGAACCCTTAGAATCCCCTTTAAAGGAGCCCTTACTAAGTCCCCCGACCCTCCAAGTAGCCTCTCTTCCCCGCGTCTCGGCTCTCAGAAACGGCATTTCGTGTTCCCCACAAACCTAGTACCGAACTCCCAAAAAAGCTACAAGGGTTTAGGGTTTAGGGTTTAGGGTTTAGGGTTTAGGGTTCTGCACCCCTATAAAACTCATATGGGAATGGGATCCCTATACATGCATAGTCTAAGGTGAAATGCAAGCAGTTGTGGAAACCTTCATTGACCAATATCGAGCCCATATAACAACCCTTTCAAGGCCTTGTGCAGCTCTTATACAGCCCTTATAGATCCCACAAGCTCTTCTAACAAGCTGATAAGACCTGTAAGTCAAACCCGTCATGGAACCCTACCTCAAAGGATCATGGGACCTAGTAATGCTTATGTACTACCTATACCCCTACTTAAAAGTACTTGTAACCTTACTTACTACGTCCCCTGATCCTCCAAACCCTAAACCCTAAATCCAAGACCCTCAACCCTAAATCCAAAACCCTCAACCCTCAACCTTTAAACCCTAAACCCTCAACCCTAAACCTTAAAACCCTAAACTCCTAAACCCCAAAACCCCAAAACCCTAAAGTACTGAAACCCACCCCGCCAGATCGGTTCGAGTCCCCAGGCGGTCGAGTTCTTCGAGTCCTCCTTCGATGCGCTGGAGCCAGGCATGGGCTCCAAGCCTGTTTTTTTTTTTTCATGGGGGCTTATGTGTTTAGGGTTTAGGGGTGTAGGGTTTGGAGTTTAGGGGCTTAGGGTTTAGGGGTTTAGGGTTTAGGGGGCTTGCGTTTAGAGGCTCATGGGGAGTTATAAGTGGGCTCAAAAGCCCCCTAATATGGGTCATAAGTGCAGTTGTCTCCGCTTAGGAAGGGGTTTTAGGGCTCGTTTAAAGACGCAGGTCCAGCCGACGGCTGGCACCAACCCGGGCCGCCCCTGACGCTCTCGGCACCGACCTTCCAGGACGATGGGGTTCAAACGGGAACGCAGAGGGCTTAGGGTCTAGGGTTTTGGGATGCTTGTGATTATGATCATGCTAATATGATTGTGAGTGTGATGAGTCTTTAGGGTTTAGGGTTCAGGATGCTTGTGATTCTGAATATGTTATGACGATTTAGGGAGCTCGCGGTTTGCCAGCTGTTTTTGGCGAATTTGGGCCTTGCACCCTAGCGCCCAAAACCAGAACCCCTGAACCAAAAATCGCTAGCCCTGAACCCCTAAGCCTCCAAAACTCAAAAGCTCCAACACGCATCCGAAGACCCTTATCCAAAACCCGAACTTTTATGGAGCCCTTATGTTATGATTATCGAGCCCTTTATCGGACCCTAAACCCTAAACCCTAAACAGGAATCCTTCAAAAGAGCCATGCCAGGTCATCTCGCCCCGGACGTTTCTCCCCGCAGAGGTAAACTTCGAGCTCCGCCTGTCTTTCAGCTTCCCGAACCTGTCGCCCGGCTTCAGGCATTACCCTAAGGCCCAAAAGTAGTTCCTTTTTGGGGTTCATATTTCGTATCCTATTAGGTAATCCCAAAAAGGAACTACTCTGGGGCCTATGGGTAGTTTTAGGGTTTAGGGTGCTAGGGTTTTATGGTTTTTGTTTGAGAAGAGGGTTTGGGGGTTTGGGGGGTTGGGTTTTGCGGGTTCGGGTGTGGGTTTCGGTTTTGGGTTGGGTTGGGTTTTGGGGTGTTGGGGTTCGTGACTTTGGAGAAAGTTAGTTTGGGGCTCAAGAGGGCAGTCTTCTCAAGGAAGTACATCTTGGCTTCGTGAAAGAAGCCGCCATACAGTTCAAAGTGGGAGGTGGGCTTGTAGCTTCAGGTTTTGGGGGCCAATAGGCCAGCCGACAGGTGGCAGCATTCCTTTCTACCCCATTTAGCGGCACTGCAACACAACCTCTAATGTGCTCTTCAATCCCTCAAGGCATCTCCTCAATCTCGTACACAGACCTGCAATGCAACCTGCCAATCAACCTCAGCCTCCCCCGCGCGAATTCTATAATTTCTGTCGTGCTTCTGTTGATGATATAAATCCTGCATTACCTTAGGGACCCTAAACTATGGGAATTATGGTATATTCCTGATTATGGGTCATGCAGGATTTATATCCCTAAACCCTAAAGCCCTATGGATCCCTTGAAGGAACCCCTTAAAGATCCCCTTTAAAGGATTCATATCATCAACCGTTGCTGCAAGGCTTGAATGGGGTTCTAAAACGCCCGGAGAAGCCCCAAAGGCCCATCGCCTCCCTTGGGCGCTAAGCCCTTTGGGCACGTGCCAGGACAGTGTAACTAATACCAGACTTTAGTATACGGGTTTAGGGTTTAGGGTTTAGGGTTTAGGGTTTACTGTATGATTAATACCAGACTTTACTATACTACTATACCATACTGTATGATTAATACCAGACTTTACTATACTACTATACCATACTGTATGATTAATACCAGACTTTACTATACTACTATACCATACTGTATGATTAATACCAGACTTTTCTATACTACTATACCATACTGTATGATTAATACCAGACTTTACTATACTACTATACCATACTGTATGATTAATACCAGACTTTACTATACCAGACTTTACTATACTACTATACCATACTGTATGATGAATACCAGACTTTACTATACTACTATACCATACTGTATGATTAATACCAGACTTTACTATACTACTATACCATACTGTATGATTAATACCAGACTTTTCTATACTACTATACCATACTGTATGATTAACACCAGACTTTACTATACTACTATACCATACTGTATGATTAATACCAGACTTTACTATACTACTATACCATACTGTATGATTAATACCAGACTTTACTATACGACTATACCATACTATATGATACGATGCGATACTATGATTCAGGCTACAGCCTCCCTTCACGATCCTCTTGATGGCGCGGCCCTTCACGGCCTGGGCATTGCAGCCTCCTGGGATAAGGATCCGGTTCGGTTCAAGGTTCAAGGGTTTGCTTGGAGGGTCACTTAGTAACTGGCTATTTTCGGGACTTATAAGTACCATAACCCCAATTAGGGTCCCTTGTAGGGTACTTATAAGTCTACTTACTACCTACTTACTAAGTCCCCCGACCCTCCAAGTGGGGTTTAGGGACCCGGGCCTGCCCCAGGGTTAAGGGTTAAGGGTTAAGTTTGAGACTCAAGCAGACCCTAAACCCTAAACCGATTCGGTTTGGGGTTTCAGGGCTTGGGGTTTTTCTTTAGGTATCAGGTTTTGGGGATGGGAAGTTAGGTTTGAGACTAAAGCATAGCCAACCTAAGCCCAAAGCCCTAGACCCTGAGCCCTACCTGACCCCTAGACCCACCGAAAACTTGATGTAGGAGCTATGTAGCACAGACACGCAAGAACTAACGTTGACCATCGGGGACTTTTACCAATAGGAGTAGGGTTGGAATGCAAGAGTCGGTCTACCGTTCGGCCGAGTAAGATAGCCTGGCTATCTATCTATCTATCCATCTATCTGCCTGCCTACCTGTCTGTTCATTTGTCTGTCTATCTAGCCCTATCTCTGTTTCTGTCTGTCTTCGTATATAGCTGTCCGTGTATGATCCTGCTTATTGCATCCCCTGAGGCTAAACCAGAGCTTCAAGCCTGGAACCTTAAACCCCATCCGCGACAGAGTGCCGAAATGCAGACCTGCTTCGGCTTTAGGGTTTGGGGGATGTTTGGGCTGTGAGAGTTCCGTCATAGCAGCTTACAAGCAGCAGGCATCACACAACTTGGGTTCAGATTCGCAGCTTCCCCTAAACCCTAAACCCTAAACCCTAGACCCTAAGCCCTAAACCCCAAACCCTAAACCCTAAACCCTAACTTCACCTAGAGCAGCCCAAAGCTCCGAGCCTAGCTCCGAAATCTACAGCCCCAGCATGTAACCGGATCTAAAATGAGAGTTTCCGAAAATGGGGGACCTAGGGTTCCTTTAAAGGGTACCATAAGGGTTCCTTTAAGGGATTTATAAGGGTTCTAAGAAGGTTTAGGGTTTAAGGTGGAGTTGCCGAAAATAGGGGACCCTAAGGGTTCCTTTAAAGGGCTACTATCAGGGTACTACAAGGGTCCCTTTAAAGGGCTCTATAAGGGCTCATATTGGGAGTTTCCCGGAAACCCCCGAAATCCTAAACCCAAAGCCCTCGAAACGCTGTTTTGGGACTACCCCCCCGGCCCACAGGACGGTGGCCCCGGCTATGGAGCATTCAGATGCCTCCTGCGACTCCGCAGTCGCCAGCCCTGGAATCCAGGGCAGATGCTTTCCAGCCGCACCAGGGAAGTGTTGGGACTAGGTTTCGGGTTTAGGGCTTTGGGGTTTCTGGTAAAACGTCAAGTTGAAAATCTGGAGGTTTTGACTTTAAAACAATTACCACCCACGTTTGCAATCCTACAGCATCCTTTGCCAAGAATCCCGAGCCCAAGAACGGACACCCTCAGCTCGTGAGCTTAACACCTGTGCTTAAGAATTCGACCTCAAGTCACAACCAGAAGCACTACATGTCTTGTTTTAATCTGCGAGGATTCATACCTCAGCGGCGAAACTGAAAGGCTCCAAACCCTAAGTTAATGTCTTCCTATTTCATCGGGTTTTCATTTTATACGATAACTGCAACCAGGAGCCCCAAAAGAGTATCGTTTTCTTGAACCACAAGTCTTTTTTCTCCTCCATTCGTTTCTACATGAGCCGTTCGGGAGAGCTGCACGAGGTTCTGTTCTTGCTGCTTCTTCTGGTCTTTTTCAACAGAGTTTCTTCCTCTATTCTTTTCTGAATGAACCTTTGGGGGCTAAACCCTAAACCCCTAAACCCCAAACCCTAAACCGTAAACCCTAAAGCCTAAACCCCTACACCCTTAAACCCTAAACCCCTAAGCCCTAACCCCTAAAGCCTAAACCCCCAAACCCTAAAGCTGCAGGCTTTTGGATCTCCTTCGGAGCCTCCAGCACTGGCGAGCGGCCCCGCGCGCCGCGCGGCGGAGACTTCCGGGAATCTGATGTAGGGGCCTTCATAAGTAGAGTAGGGTTCCTTCCTTTTTAGGGCTATATGAGGGATCTTTGGGGATGAGGGGTTCGGGGTTTAGGGAATTAGGGGCCGTCATAGTTAGAATAGGGTTCCTTTTAAAGGGGTCCTTTCAGGGTTACCATAAGGGATCTACAAGGGTACTATAATGTCGGGGTCTTAATAAACAGAATACGGTTTTGGGGCCCATTGTATTCAAGGAGCCCCCAAGAAAGTATAGGTAATCATTAAGGCCGCTACATTTAAGGGTTTAAGGCTTGAGGGTGCTATACGGTTTGGGTGTACTAGGGTTTAGGGGTTAGGGTTTAGGCTCCTTACGGGGTCTAGAAGGGTTTTTAGGTTTCTGTGTGTAGGGATTGTAGAGGTCTGAGTAGTTCGAAAGAACATCCCTGTATGGTCCTTAGGAACGATACTCGTACACGCCTCAATGACACCAATCTAACTATCAAGATTCCTGTAGCCGTTTAAGCAGGTAATTTAGGGTTTAGGTTTTAGTTCTAGTTTACGGTACCAAGTAAGGGTTTAGTGTGCCGAAGGGGATGGAGTCAGCGTTTAGGGCTGCAGCTTTATGGTTCAGGGTGTTTCGGTTTACGGTTTTCAGACCAGGGACGGTCCAAAGAATCGGAAGCAGCATGTCCTGTTCAACCCTAAGCCGTTCATGCGGATAATGATGGCCCATGATCATGTTGATGGTGATGGTCATGATGATGACGACCATGACGATGATGAAGACAATGATGATGGTGTGACCATGATGTATTAGTGCTGGTACAGATGGTGGTGACCATGATAGCGATGGTGATGGTGCCGATGCGAAGCGACATCGTTGCAACCAGAGAGTTGTGATGTCAAGACTTATTTCGATAGTAGCAGTGGCAAGTAATTATGGTGAAATCACTAGCAGTGACATCAAGTTCAAGACTGTGGAGATATTTGACAGGGCGATGTTCATATTCCTAAGCTCTACGCCGTGAACTTCGACTACATCTTCCTCCTACAAGTTGCCTGGGAGCCTCTGCGGAACCCTAAACCCTAAACCCCCCTAAACCCTAAACCTTAAACTCTAAACCCTAAACCTCGGGGATCGCAGGCCCCCACAACCCTAAACCAGAGGCACGGTCTAGCCTAGGGGGTTTAGGGCCCCCAAAAGTATGTCTTTTATGGGTTTTGGGCCGTTATTTTACCTACTTTGGGGGGTCTAGGTTTAGGGGGTTCAGGGGTTTGTTGCAGGGGGTTTAGGGTTTGAATGTATGGGGGTTCAGCGCTTGGGAACCCACCCCCAAGACCTAGGAACGGTGTCAAACTCATCTACGAGTCGCTGCCGACCACCACGACGTTGCGCATCACTGCGCTTTGCCCTTGAAGATCTTGACAGAGCAAGGGAGCACGCTAGTAAGACACTGCCACTTCGACCCGGCAGGGGAATGTGGGATTGAGTTCTAAGCCTGACACCCTGAAGCCCTAAATCCTAGAGCCTAAACCCGTGAACCCAACTTTAAATACTGCAAGACAAAAAATTGAACCCCAGATCCAGACATTAAGGGATACTCCAGGCTGAGGAATCAGACTTTGTTCGCTTGGGTTTGGGGTGCTCAGCAAGTAGAGTTATGTTGGCTGTGTTACGGCAACCCCCTAAGAGCTGAACCGCCTAAAAGCCAGAAGCCCGAAGAACCTAGACCCCAAACCCTAAACCCCTAAAGCCCTAAACCCCTAAAACCCTAAACCCCTAAACCCTAAACCCCTAAACCCCTAAACCCCTAAACCCCTGAACCCCTAAACCCCTAAACCCCTAAACCCCTAAACCCCCAAACCCCTAAACCCCTAAAGCCCTAAACCCCTGAAGCCCTCTAAAGCCCCAAAGAACGCTCCAGAATTCGATCGCCGTCCTGCCGTAGATCCTTTACCCTAAACCCTAAGCGGTTTAGGGGTTTAGGGGTTTAGGGGTTTAGGGGTTTAGGGGTTTAGGGGTTTAGGGGTTTAGGGGTTTAGGGGTTTAGGGGTTTAGGGGTTAGGGGTTTAGGGGTTTAGGGGTTTAGGGGTTTAGGGGTCTAGGGTCTAGCGCTTAGGGTTTAGGGTTTAGGGTTTAGGGCCCTAAGCCCCAAGCCCTAAACTCCTCACCTTGGGGTTAGTAAGTAGGGCATGGAAGAATGGTAGTAGTAGTAGTAGTAGTAGTAGTAGTAGTAGTAGTAGTAGTAGTAGTAGTAGTAGTAGTAGTAGTAGTAGTAGTAGTAGTAGTAGTCGTAGTAGTAGCAGTAGCAGTAGCAGTAGTAGTAGTAGTAGTAGTAGTAGTAGTTATAATTGTACCGCATTCCTCCATTCCCTACTATCCAAAGGTAAGACTCAACTAAACCCAAACCCTAAACCCTATAAACTAAAACTAGGCCTTTAATCTTAAACCCTTAACTAAACTAAGCCCAAAACCTTAAACCCCAAACTAAACTCATCGTAAACCCTAAAGCTCTCAGAAAAGGACGCTGTGGGAACCTATGGTTTGTACTTTTGAGGACCTAATGTCCCAAAGCTCTCCACGAAAGTCAGAGGTTCGATCTCCGTCCTTGGGGAGCTTCGATGAGTGGGCAGCTGTACTGCTCGAAGGCTCGAGGGATGTCGGTCTAAAACAGGGGCTTCAATACTTCGAACAGGGTTCCTTTTAAAGGGGCTCCGTTCTAGAACGAACCTTTAAGGGGGGGGCTTTAACAACTAGAATGCTGGTAGTTTTTCAGGATGTTAGGGTTCAGGGGTTTAGGGTTTGGGGGGGGGAGCTCGGGCCCAAGAGCCTCCCAGTGGCAGAGCGGGACTGACTGATCTTGGGCGGTAGGATCCTTTTGGGCCATGGTTTCCTTGGAGCCCCTTTGGGCAATGAAGGAGTCGGCCGTCACTGCATTGATTGAGACTTCCCAGGGAGGGTTCAGGACCTTGCCGTCCCGAACACCAGTGGATATTTCCGGCAGTAGTACTGAGACCCCCGGTCTGCTCCTGCTTGTGGGCTACTCTGTACATCTGAGTCCTAGGCTGCAGCTTGTGCCTAACAACCAGTGTCGTTGCTACAGACTTCAGTCAGCTCACTTTCGCAACTACGGACGTATTGTGGTATTCTGCTGGGGAGGTTCCAAATGGCCTCTGGGATTTAATACACTGAAGGTTGCACTTGCGAGGGTGCCTCCGTCGATCGTCAAGGCCTCCTTAGAAAGCCAGATTGGAGCGGCGTTTGTCAGCAGCCCCCAGCCACTCCGAGCTGAGGGCCCAGCGATCTGGTTAGTACAGCATGCTTCGGACGCCGGAGCTCTGTGGATTGATCTTTCTCCGCAGGGCCGTGCAGAGTTGCAGGGTACGGACGGGGTGCCTGATGTGAGTGAAGTGCTGCGCGTCGCGCTGCGTGCTGCTTTCCAGGTGCAGGTGCCAGCCTTGGTGATTCGAGCCAGCGAGGAGCTTCCTGTAGAGGCGCTTGGCCTCATCCGAGGTTTTGCGCAGGCGGGAGGTTATGGCTTGGAAGAGGTTTGCCTTGCAGGTCCACAGGTACAGGCGCAGAGCACGGCCAGCTGGTGGTGGGTCTTAACGGTTTCCAACCTTAGCCGGGTGAGTGTCCTTCCATGGTCAGTGTTGCCGACGGGTGCATGTGAGGGCCCCCTGTGCCAGGATGATGTTCAGGGTCTTCAGAACCTTTGGGTCTTCAGGGGGATTGTCGAGAGCATGCATCCAACAGGGCCGTGGCCAGCTGAGGACCCGAACCGAGCAGTCATGCTTAATCTGCCGGAGGCTTTGAGGCGTGCTGGCATACAGGTGTCTCCGGACGGTTCTGCCATGCTTGAGGAGAACGACCAGTCGGGCAGCAACTCCCTGGTGCAGGGCCCCGACTGGTCTTCTCCGCTGGAACCTGCGCAACCCGTGCCGAAGTCTCCCACCAGACCGGCTGATTCTTCCTTTGTGAATGCTGCCGACCAAGACCAGCAGGTCAAGAAGGCGAGAAGGCAAGAGGTGATCGACCCCCTCCCAGCTGTGTCGCAGGGACAGGCCGCTCCTGGTGGTGTTTGGTCCGTGGGCCTTCCGATCACGCGATACACCGTACCTGCAGTTGCCGTGGGTCAGCTAGGTATCTCTCCTTTTCATGTTCCAGAGGGCTCGCGGGCCAGACTGCTTTGTGTGCTTGACGGTGACGGGGGTGTCCTTCCAGCATTCTCTCCTGTCACGCAGGACCTTCTAATCCAGGCTGTGGCGTTTGGCCCCGTGCCAGATGATGCATCCCCAGGCCACCCGACCATCAAACAGGTCCACCAGGACAGTGCACTCCTTGCCCGAGCCGTCCGCCTGGAACTCTTGTCAAAGCAGGGCCCTTGGCTGGCTGATGATCAGGTTGATGCTGCCCTCAAGTGCATTGGGTCGCTGGCAGGCCAGCAGTTCCGTGTGCTGCCCTCCGGGCCTCTTGCCCATGCCCTGGCTGATGCGACTTCCACATCGGTGCAGCGGTTCAGCCAAGTACTGTCGCAGGATGTCTTGATTTTGGCCGGGCTGTATGCTGAGGGTCACTGGATTACCCTTGCATGGAAGGCCGCTGGTGGTCAGGTTCTCGCATGGGCCTCCCTCCCAATGACCACCCACACGGGGCCCCTTGTTGCAGCAGTTGCCATGGCTAACCACTTCATTGCGCGGGTGCTGGATATGCCTGTCACGGCCTTCCTTTTCCGAGGTGGCCCGGAGAGGACTCTCCCCCCGGGAATGTGCGGTGCTTTCGCCCTGGCCGACCTCCAGGCCCACCTGCATGACCTTCCGCCTATGTCCGAAGAGTCGGCCCTGGACTTTTCTGCGTTTGCTTTGGCGGCCCACCAGTTACAGTTGGAGCAAGGTGATGCGGCCATGGTCCCTGCTCCTTTGCTGTTCGGAGGTGCCTTTGAGGTCCAGGCAGGTGCCCCGGCAATCCCGCCACTTCTTGAGCATGGGCTTACCACACTCCTTCGAGCTAAGGGTGTGCCGGCGGATGCGGTTGCCGCACGAGTGCAGCAAGCAATACAGCGTTTGGGTCGGGCCCCTCTTCAGCGGGCACTTCAGTCGGGGAACCAGTGGCGTGACCTCAAACATGTCTGCAATAACGTGCAGCCCCCCTTTCAGCTTGTTCTCCCATCTGAGTTGGCAGGGCTTATCCAGGCTAAGGCGGCCAGTGGTGAGCCTGTTGGCAGAGGGCGACGGGCCAAGAATGCCAAGACAGGCAAGGCTCCAGAAGCAGCGCCGGTGATGCAGCCCGTGCCTGAGCAGCTTGGTGTGCCTGAGGGGGTGTTTGAGGCGGAGGGACAGCCGCTCAAGCAGATCCAGCTGGTTGAGATTGGCCCCCAAGTTGCCGGTGTTGTGCTGGTCAATGCCCTGCAGGCTGAGCCCTACCTCAAGCTTGACAAGCCGGTGTCCTCCAAGGGCTTGGGACTTTTGCTTCTGGGACCGTTTGACCCAGCCGACACCACGCTGAAGCACACGTCGATCCGCTTCAGAGCCTGTGTGCGTGCCACGGATGAGCCCATCCTCTTGTCGGCCCTCCTTCTGCAAATTGGGGATAAATGGGTTAGTAAGACGGCCCCACCTTCCTCGGTCAGCCTTGAGGTGACGCCCTCCATCGTTCTCCGCCTGGCCGTCTATCGTGATGAGTGGCAGGGTTCCTGGGATCTTCTTGTGCAGAAGCCCATTCGGGCTATCCTTGAGGTTGTGGGCCAGCTTCGCACATGCTCTGTGATTGGGTGTCACTGTGAACAGTGGCACGGCACGTCTGGGCCCGGGGAGCCGCCTGCTCTGCTTGAGGTCTGGGCCCGGTCTTTCCTGAATGACTCCTTCAAGATGGCCCCGCCGGCTGACGCTTCGATTTTCAACACATTTATCCGGGTTCCTCAGGCACTGGCCGATGGCCTGCTCCGGGTTGCGGGCAGAGAGGGCGTGTATTTTGAGCCCCGGGCAGCTGATTCCAGGGCCCCATCTGCCGACTACCAGGTCATCTGGCTTGCCAAGGCCACCCGACAGGAGGCAGTTGTCGCAGCACAGTCTCAGGCACAGGCCATAGGCATTGCCCGCATCGGTGCACGCTACGGCATTCGCTGTGCCCATGACCATGCAGAGGCGCTTCATGGGGCTCTCAAGCCTGCCACACCGTACGTCAACCGCCAAACAGCCAAGCTGTACCACACCGGGCCGTGGCCCTTTGGCACGCAGAGGCTGGCTCTTGCAGCTTCCTTGAAGGACTGGGGCTGGCAGGTCAAGCCTATGCAGCCACTGAGGCCCCGCCGTCAACAGTACTGCACCTTAAGGGGGAGGAGGTCCTGATTGTTGAGGTGAAGCCGAATGCCCCCAAGCCCGTTCCGGTGGCACCTGTCATTGGTACCAAAGCTGTTTGTCGTTCACTCGCGGCCCAATCTGCGACGGGGCCTGACCCGCTCCAACAGTCTGATCCGTGGGCCGCTGCACTTCAGGCCCGTGCCGCGAGCGGGTCGGGTACGGCAGCTGGCGATGCCAGCAAGTCGCTTGAAACCAGGCTCCAGGCACAAATCAAGGCCCAAGTTGATGCTGCTACTCAGGCCATGGCCGGCCGTGTCTCCAGCCTTGAGGTTGGTGTGCAGAAGCTTGAGGTCGGCGTTGCCAACGTCGTCTCCAAGGTTGACACACAGGAGGCCAGGCTGCAGACCGCCTTTGAAAAGCTTTTTGAGCAGCAGACCCAGCGCATTGAGGAGCTTCTTGCCCCGAAGCGGGCCCGCACGGAAAGTTGACTGGGCCACCTGGGAGCCGGGTTGTTGAGGCCTCTCCGGCTGCCCTTTTCTTTCATCCTCGGCCTCTTTTGCTTGTGGTGCCCTGCCGGTGCTGCGGATCCTGGCACCCTCGGCTGTCCCCGTCATGCTTTTGCCACGCCGGTGCTCTCCTCTACTGTGGAGGAGCAATCTGGCCCTTGGGGCCTCGCTTTTGATTTGCCTTGTCCGTTTGGTGCTGATGAATGTATACGTCGACATTCGCAGTTTTTGCCCACTTACGGCTGCCCCTTCTCAGGTCACCTGTTCCCACCGGGGCTGTTCCATTTTGGTTTTGCGGTCTGCCCCGCGCAAGCCGGGGTGCCGCTTTCTTTGGGCCTGCAAGTGCCCGATTTTGCCTTCCCGACTGCCGTCTATGCCAGTGAAGCCGGATTCCTGGCTGCTCCTGCTGATGTGGCTCTGTGCTCTCGGTGCCCTACATGCTGTCTGACAAGGATCGTCAATCTCTGCCTTGCGCGGCCCTGCCCAGGTTTGCCAGGCTTGTGTTATGGAGTTCGTCCCCAGACGACCGGGACCGTGCCCGCATCCGTGGACTACCAACCTGCACGCGCACTTCGGTCCCAAGTTCCACGGCGAGGTTGTGCCGGTGAGCTCCCCTTTGAGGACTTTGGGTCCGCCCTGGACGGTCAGCCGGCTTCCTCAGGTCTGCAAGGCTTGTGTCGAGGGCTCTGTCACCGGATGGTTGCTCCAGCGAACTGCCAAGGTACTGAGGCTTGCCCTCTCTCGGGCCTATGTCGTGGGCCCTGCCCCCAGGTGACTGTGCCTGTTAGGGCGGGAAAAACTCCCCAAAGGCAACCCCCCTCTCCCGGCCCGGGAGAGGGGGGT